CTGGCGCCCGCCCGGCCGCCGAGTCGGCCACGGCGGCGTCAGTCGCTCGCCGAGGCGCGTCGCTCGCCGTCGTGGTCGCCGCTCCTCGTCACCCTCGTCAATCGTCGTCGTCGCTCGTCAACGTCGGTCGCAGCTCCTAGTCGCTCGTCGTCTTCGCTCGCCGTCGTCGTCGCTCTTCGTCATCGTCGTCGCTCGTCGTCGGCATCATCGTCGGGGACTTGGTCAAGGGTGGTGCACGTGGGCGCACGCAGGATTGGAATCGACCATGCATCACATTCAGTCCAGCGACGCACTGTTGTCTCCACACCGATGCATCCTTCTCCCCCTCATCCTGAGACGTCCCAGAAGCGAATCAAGCCCTCTACGACCATCCTCCTGCTTCGTTTTCCTTTTCTCCTCCTCATCCCCTTCCTAATTGCTCCTCCTCCTCCTCCTCCTCCTCTTCCTCGTCCTCCTCCTCCTCTCCCGCATCCCTATTTTCGTCCTCCTGTCTCCCTGCACCTCCTCATCCCTCCTATTCCCCTTCCTCCTCTTCCTCCTCTCCTCCCCTCCTTCCTCCTCGTCCTCTTCCTCCTCCTCCTCCGCCTCCTCTTCCTCCTCCGCCTCCTCCTCATACCCCTCCCCCTCCTCCTTTGCGTCGCCTCCTCCTCCTCCTCCTCTCTCCTCCTTCTCTCCTCCTCCTCCGCCTCCGCCTCCGCCTCCTCCTCCTCCTCCTCTTCCTCCTCCTCCTCCTCCTCCTCCTCCCCCTAATCCCGCATTGTATTGCTTATTCGCATTATCATTCGCACCATTCAGTGAATACTGATCCCTGTGTTATGATGATGTATTGTCCCTCTTAGTATTATCAGTTGTCCTATTATTCTTATGATTATGATTACTACCCTCCTCCTCCTCCTCCTCCTCCTCCTCCTCCTCAGGACTTCTCCTCTCCTCTCCCTCCCCTCCTGGACGCCCCCGAGCTCCGCCGCCAACGCCCAGGGGCGCGCCCACCCGCCGCGTGCCAGACACAGCCTGCCCTCGCTCGCCCCGCCCCATCCCCGTACCGTTTTCGGGCTCGCACGTGCTCTGTTTTGTTGTTGCTTCTGTTGTTCCCCCCGCGCGGCCGCGGCTGGGAGGGGGGAACTATCGCGAATTTTTCGCGGTGGTTTTCTTCTTCCAGCCGCGGCCGCGGCCGCGGCTGCGGCTCTGGCTGTGGCTGCGGCCGCGGCTGGGAGGGGGAACTTATCGCGAATTTTTCGCTGTGGTTTTCCTCTTCCAGCCGCGGCCGCTCTCGTCGTTCTGCCCCCCTTTTGCACGCCGGCCACTTCGCCGAGCGGTGGCCCTGGATAGCCACGCGCTGCGGCGGACTGCCTCTGCCCCGCCGCCGACGGAACAAAAAGCTTCTTGTTGTTCGCAGGAGAGGCCCCAGAGCGCCCTCTCGGGCACGCTTCGTGGGGCCAAGAGGCCTCGTGGCTCCTGCACCGGGCGTCGTGGCGAGACGCCTTTACTGACGCCTCGGCGGGGCCGTCCTCCCACGGCGAGAGGAGGACGCAAAATGGCCCGTGGAATTTCACGAGACGCCTCGCAGCAGAGTCGCAAATGCTCCTTGGTCCCCCTGCCGAGGAAAAGACGCACATGTCCGAGCGATGCCAAGGTGAAGGGGCAACGATCGGGTGGGATAGGCACAGGGGGGGGACAACATCGACCTGGAATCGGCAATGCGTCGCCGATAGATCGGCGCTAAGCCTCTGATAGCAAATCCGCACGTCCCCGGGCAGGTTTGGGCAATCGGGCCACCATCGGCGATCAGTGGGCGCTTGGGGGTCGATGCGTCCCCCTTCTGCTTATCCCCCCTTATCGTTACCCTTGAAAGGTGCCTTAAAAGGGGGGCATTGATCCGAAGCGTGGGACACTAAAGGGAAATTAGGACACACAAATAAATACACACATAAAAATAGTCCCCATATTTTCCCATATTTTCTGAGTTTTTGTCTTCCCCCCCAATTCCCATATTTTCCCATATTTTCCTGGGAATCGAGGATTAATTGTGTCTGTGTGTTTTTTCCCTCCTGAGACACACAAGTGGAACATGAAAGCGTACCCCGGAGCAGCGGAAGTGACGTGTCCAGCGCCAGCCCCCCGACCAACTGGGAGGCAAGCCCCAGAGGGCCTGGGGTCGGGCGTCGCCCAAGGGGGGGACACCAGTGAAGGGACCCAGGGACACACACAAATAAACAGTCCCAGATCCAAGAGTCCAACCATACTTCCCAAAGTTTCTCAATGTTCGTTTTCATCTCCTCTTCTTTTTCGATGGCGGGCTTCCGAAAACACAACAAGGAAATCCCAAAGACAGGAACCACTAATTCCAAAGAGTCCAAGCGAACACACATACCAATCAAAAGAAGCTGAACAAACGAACCACGCACAACAACCCAACTAAAACACATTCCGCTATTTTTTCAAAATCCCACCCCCCTGCACGGGCCCCCCCCCGTTGCATCGTCAGTCCCACATTCGCCACCGCGCTTTTACTCTTCCCCCTCCTCTTTCTCCTCCCCATTATCGTCTTCTCTCTCCGTGCCGTGCCCCCTGGAAGTAAGCAGGAACGAGAACCAGAGTGGGGGAACACGAGGGAGGAGGGAAGGCCCAGAGGAGGGATAACCAACTCATCACTACAACAGAGCGCGCGCCGGCGCTGGAGCCAAACGGAGGCAGACTCTCCTGATCGAGTCGGGACTGCACGGACGATCGAACAACTCTGGCGGAGACGCAGGGGAGGAGATAACGAAAACTAAACGGTTCAACCCCACGATCACTTGTACATCCGCAGGGATATCGTATCGTTCTGGCATGGCTGCGCGCCACGGGGACGGCGGGCCTCGCCACCTCTCGGGGGGGCCCGCCCGCGCTCTCAAGAGCGGGGCTGGAAGATCTCACGCGACATGCAACAGTGCGAGCGCAGCCAGGCCGCATAGGCGCATGGCTGGACCACCCTGGGCCGCATGCAAACATGTCCAGAAACCTGTCGCGAATGTCAGGCGACATGGGTGACCTGGGGCCACGTGGGAGGCGAGATTGGTGCGTGACGGAGCCTTGAGCAAGTAGGATCGATGAGGTGAAGGAAGGATGGTAACCAAGAGGGGCGCGCAGTCTTTTTGAACGATCGCGTCGGGCTCGGCGCCTCCGTCGCTGTCCTGAGGCTCGTAGCTGCCGCGGACGCGCTTCTGAACCTCCTCGCTAACCGTTCCTAGCGCGGCACTGCCTGGCAATGACTTGGCATCCTCGTCATGGTCGGCTGCTTCGCACGATGAAGCAGCCGCGCGCCGACGCTCTGACCTCTCGCCTCCACGGCGCACCCTTTTCTTGGTCGGCGTGCGGTCGTCTCGGGTTTGCTCTTGTTATTCTTTCTGCTCTCGCCCTCGCCCTCCCCCGCGAGCTGGCTGCGCGGCGGGGCGAGCCGACGGGGGCCCGGCTGCTGGCGCGCGGCCAGAACAGCGGCGGCGGTGGCAGAGGAGGGCCTCCACCAGGCAGCGTTGCCCACGCCCCCGTCGCACGCCATCTCCCGGTCCCAATGTTCGGGGCGACGACGCGGGGGCAGCGCGAAGCGGCGCGGCGGGGCGCTCGGCCTGCGCTCGCCCCGCGGCGGATGGGAACGCGGCGGCCGAGGCCCGCGCCCGCCGCGGGGGACCCGCCGCAACTTGAGGGCGGGCTCCCCAGGGCCGCTCTCGCTGGCGGGCAGGTTCGCGGCAGCCCCGCCCGCGGCGAGGACCGGATCTGGCCGCCGCCATCGGCTGCCGAGGTCGACGCGCTGCCAGCGCGGGCGACATCCGCACTTCTCCTGAAACGACCAAATAGACCAACCACGAAACAACCCCGAACTGAAAACCACCACCCTGGTCGATACAGATTTGCCGTTAAATGTCGGTCCAACGCTGGTCGCGCGGCCCGTTGCGCGGCGAGCCTCACGGGCGAAAAGAAGCGCGCATCACTGGTTCTTTCCGCTGAACAGACACTTTCGCGCTGCCGACGACAAGGCGGCTTCGTTGATACGCTGGTCTCTCAGGAAGGCACGCGCATCCAGAGCAGCCTCGCGGCGGGCTCAGATTCGAGCCCGCTTCCGGGTTTCGCGCGAGTGCGAGCGGGGCCAGACATTGCGGGCGAGCGGCGGCGACGGCGCGCAAGAGTCGGCGGGCGACTGCAAGACCGAGCGGCCGAAGCCCGCAACTGCCTTGTTCCCCTGGCCGCGCACTCTGCTCGTCTCCTCCAACCAAAGTCGCGCCCGCAGCGATGGCAGCGGAATGATGCGCGGCGCGCCTGGCGGCATTGCGAGACGCGGAGGCTGCGGCTTCGGGCGACCGGGCGGAGAAGTCTCAGACCGCTCGCGCGAGAGAGGCGCGGGGCGGTCGCCGGGCACATGGGGCGCCGATTCTGATCCGGCCGTGGCGCGGGCATCGGAAGCAAGGGGGGCATCTCCCTCGACGCGCGGTCGACGCGCGAGGCAGCGGGCGGCAGCGCCGCGCGGCCGCGCCGCGCGGGCCTTGCGGTCGGGCGCCGAGCGCCGGGGTCGGCCGGCGCGCGAGCCTGCCGTCGATTCTAACTGCGGCGCAGACATATGCCCTTTTCGCTGCATGCCCCAACTGATCTCAGACTTCCCATGTCCGCCAACGCACGCATGCATATCAGCGCGAATCTGCGCTAAAACTGACGCCAACAACTGCGCCTGGACAGTCGAGCTGCATCGCGGCGTACAGTGCGACGAAACTCGCAAATACGACGAGGATGGTCTGGGGAATGGAATACGAAGCAGTCTTGAAAACTCTTCATTGTTGGTACACGGACGACGGCTGGCGCTCCTACCCCGAACGCAAAATGAGTTTACCAGCAGCGTTGAGGTAGCAGCGCATGGTTCATGTAGACTCCCTTGCGAGGGCCGCCAGCCACGTCTTGGAGTGCCCGTCGGCAGCGGGCAAGAGTGCAGCCACGACACGCTCGGCAACGTCGATCGCCCAACAACGGGCAGT